CCACCCCCTGCCCTGAGCTGCACAGCACCGGTCCTCTGCCAGTCCTTCCATCCTGGGCCTTAAATCCAGCTGTGCATGAGGCACAAGTGGGGTGCTGTGCCACTCCACACCACCCACCCTCACCTGAGGGCTCTGCTGAGATGTCGTGGGAGATCACTGGGAAATTGGCAGCAGTGTCAGCACTGCCACAGAAGGTGTTTGCTGTGGGGATTGCTCCAGCACTGAGCAGCACAAGAGCAGGTAATTCCGCAGAAAGCTGCAGGTCTCCCAGTCCTTCATGGAGTAAAGGAGCACTGCAGGTTGGCTTTGGAGAGATAGGGACGTGGGATGGACGATGAGTTTGTCCATTGTTTAAAGGATGGTCTTGGGAAAGTTGGCCCAAGGTGCAGGGTTCTTGATCTTTTTCCAACAAAGGCAGCTGCATGGAATAATTTACCCTGGGCAGAGCTCAATGCAAGCAGAGCCATACAGGAACTGCCACAGGGCTGAAAACTCAGAGAGTTTGGATTTGGTTTGGAAAATAAAAATAATAAAATAAAATAAAATAAAATAAAATAAAATAAAATAAAATAAAATATAAAATAAAATAAAATAAAGCAAGAAGGTTAAAAAAAAAGTTAATGTTAATCTACCTTGCAGCTGCAGAGTCTTCCCGTGCTTGGACATCATTCCTGCAGCTGAGGATTAAAAATGCATCATCCCTTTGGATGGGTCTGGGCTCACATGACTCCGGGCTGGAGATTTGAGGAAGAACTATTGAATGTCGTGAACTTTGCAGCTGGGCGGGGCCTGGGTTGGGCAGAAAAGCTTCGCTTCCCACCTGAGCAGTGCTCCCAGGAGCCAGCCTGACTTAGGAGCCGGCAACTGGCCCGAGAGGCTCCGAGTGCTGGGAGAGGATCAAAAAGCTCCTCTGGCAGTAAATCTTTCACCTGCCATGTGACTCACTGGGGCTTGTGGCCATTCCTCCGAGGTCGGCCCCGGGTCAGGATTTCTCCTGTCTCTTTAGCCCCCAAATCTGCAGATTTTTGTCTTATCTTTGACGCCATCTTGACACCGAAAACAAATTATGGCCCAATTACCCGTACTCAGAGGGGCTGGGGCACCTTAAACGGCCACAACTCCCCGGCGCGTCCTTAAGAGCGGTAATTAGGGGGGCGTGGGGTGGGGAGGGGGCAAGAACTGGGGGTACCCCTGGCATGGGGCTGCCCTTGCTCCCCGTTTGCCAAGGCAGGAGGGGACATGCCATGCAGCCCCTTCTATCGCATCTATCCCATCCTTTCCCCTTCTGTCCCGTCCCGTCCCTCTGCACCCTCGGGCTCCGCAGGGGCCGAGCAGAGGTGGGGCTCCCCGCCACTCGGGGTGGGGGCTGCCCTGCCCCGTGTCACCGCCTGGCCAGCCCAAAGGGGCCCGTGACGGGAGGCAGCAGCCCCGGCCCTGGCCGTGACCTTCGGGACGACCTCGAGTGAGGAGTGAGTCCCTGCCAGGGCTGGGGACCGGCCGTGCCTCTCGTTCCAGGCTGGGACATTTCCCTGCTCACCCCGAGAAACACGGGACAGCAGCATCACGGCTGAACCGCCGTAACAACCGACCTGAAACTTCTAAAAATTGTTTTTCTTCCCATCTTTCAGTGTCGTTACACTGTCTTCTCCTCTGCTCTGTCCCTGGGCATTTTTTGCCCAGGCTTGTGCTGTCTGCCTGAACCCAGCAGCTGTTTTGGGAACTGGCAAATCCAGCCTGCAGCCTGGACAGTGCTCATGGGGGTGATCGGGTGGCTGGGTCTGGGTGTTTTTTTTTCCTCTTTTTTTTTTTTTTTTTTTTTTTTTTTTTTTTTTTTTTTGTCAGATTGGTATTTTATTTGGCTCCATCCTGTCTACCGAGCTGTCCAGTGTAACCCTTCCCTTGCTGCTTCTGAGATAAGAATAGGCTCCCCCGAGATCAGATAAACAGGCCCATAAATACCTACAACAACAAGAAGCGGGGTCTGGGCTTGGCAGGAAAAGGGGGGGGGGGGGGGGAAGTAAAAAAATGAGCCATTCCTTTGCGTGCCAAACCAGAGGGGAGAGAAGCACCCGACAGCCTCTTTGCCCACAGCACTGCCCCCTTGGCCAGGCAGGGTGGCAGCAGGGTGTCCCTCGTGGCTGGGTTCCAGCGGCAGGGAGCCTGGCACGTCAGATGCTGCCCCGGGGCCAAGCGATCCCTGTTCCTCTGCCCGGGCAGCAGCCGGCCCCTCCTGCGTGCCCCGAGCCAGCTGCTTCCCAACGGCATCAAGTTCACGGCAGGGTCGAGCCGAAGCTATGTGCAGGGCCATCTCCCCTGACCGATGAGCTAGGCACTTCGATAGCCAAAAACTCAAAGTTGGTGGCCAAACCGCTCTTCCGGTGAGCTCTGGTGCCGGCGGCACCGGGAGCGCTGCCGGAGGGTGGGAGGCTGTCCCTGTGCAGGGCTCCCATCCCCCTGCAGCTCCTCTCCCTTTGGGGCGACCCCATCCTAGGCTGGAAGAGGCGCTGAGCTGGAAGCTCGTGTCCCGTCCCGGTCCCGGAGCCGCCGGAGCTGTGCCGAGCTGGGGACGGAGCTCGCTGCTGCTACAGGACGTGTTTAGTGCTTTTTTTCCTCCTCTCTTCCCCACTACCTCACAGGAAAAGCCCTTTGCTGGGCAGGGAAATCCTCTGCAGCCCTGAAAATTGAGAGTGCTTTCACTTGGAAAATCCTGAGAAACGGGAGGCTGGCACTGGGGACACCTTCCCCAGCAGTTTGCAGCCAGCAGGTACCACTACCAGAAACCTGTGGTAAGAAAAGAAAAAATCCTGCGGGTGCAGGCAGAACATCGCCCTGGCTGTGCAGGGTGCCCCTTCCCAGAAGCAAAACTGGAAACACAGAGGGTAAAAACCAGCGGAGGTTTCTGGTGGGGTGAAAGCTGCGCAGCCAGAGGGTGATGTACCGTGGTGTGCCGGCACCGGGGACACGATTCCCGTGCAAAGTCACCTTTGTCTCACAGCAGAGCAAGTCCCGAGTCCCCATTTAACCCTTTCCCTCATCGCTGCCGAAGGGCAGCCCCGTTTGGTGCTGTATGGATACACGGATACCGGCTGGCACATGTGAACAGGACTGCGGACACATTTATGGGGTGCTGGATTGCAGTGTTAGTGACAGCTTGGGAGCTTTCCCATAAGAACCCAGCCTTTAGGAGACTGTGAAACTTAGACATAAAATATGATCTCTGAGGCTTTCTGTACGTTTTCTTTCTTTTTTTTTTTTTTCTTTTCTTTTTCTCTTTTTTCCCCCTTTGAATGCATTCGAGTATAGGAGTGCCCTACTCTACTTCACTCATGGAAGTGATATCATGCTAAACCTCTTACACCTCAAACAAAAAAGTACCACTGCGGGCGAGCGTTGCTCTTCTCTGGCAGTCAGTCAATTTTCATCCCAGCCTCACTCAAAGGGATCAGAAAATAGATCAGGGGCTGGGAAGGCAGCCGTGCAGCGGGTCCGGAGCGAGGCTGCTTCACGCAGCCAGATTCTTCTTCGTCGAGAGTTAATTACACTGGCTGTACTCCACAATGTTTGTGTGTCCCTCCGTCTGTATTTGTACACATGCACAAAGTGGCTATAAAACCCAAGCCGGTTCCCCACGGGTGAGCTGGGGTATTCTTGGTGTGTACAAATTGATCAATGTGTCCTTATTTTACAGACGTTGCATCATTATTTCTATACCTTTAGTCGCAATCAAAAGCTTGGTTTCAAACAGAAAATGTAAACGTCCCTGCTGTGAGCCCTCAGATTAGCCCTAGAATAATGTACACATTTCCCCGTGCTGTTTTTCTTTGCCCCAAGCAGCCGCCCGAGTGTCAGGGCTTATCCCGGTGTCTCTGGGAGCGGCAGCGTGGCCAGGCTGGGAAGGCAGGATCAGGCTCTGAGCCCCTGCACGCACGTCTGGGAACTCTTTGGTAAGAGCAGCGTGTGTGCACAGTGGTGGGGATTTGGCTTTAATTATTAAGGATTATTAAGGATTTATGCCTGAGTGGTGACAGAATTTGGGCTGCGTTAGCATTGCTGTGTCTGAGGCTGGTGGCATCCATCGTGTTCAGATGGCGAGGAGGGGACGCTGCTCCTTCGAAATGCGGCCGAGGCAGCGCCTGGCAGAGGATCCCTGTGAGAAAGGGCTGCCAGAGCCGGTGCCAGCGCCGGCCGGGCTGCCCGGCAGGACAGGGGAGCCCAGCCCTGGCTCTCTGCGTGGTAACAACAAAACCTGAGGCTCCACAGCTCTGTGGTGCCATCCAGACGCTGAAAAGGGCTGATCCTGCCATCCTTCCCCAAGCCAAATACGAGTCCAGTCCCTCCAGCTGGGCTTCTGGGGAGGGAAGGGAAGGGAAGGGGTGGTAGGGCACGGGCAGAGTCCGTGCCCCGGAGGAGGTCGCGGGGACGATTACGGAACTCCACCAGCTCCTGCGGTGAGCAAGGACGGCACAAACAAGTCTCAAAGGATCCCGAGCTCCCCAAGGAGGAATTCCCTCACACGGATCGGCCCCACAGCAGAATACTGACTTCAGGGATGTCTTTAATCCCGCAGCACCCCTGTGGGCAGCGCAGGGGACCCGGCCAGAGCAGCGCGATTGCCGGAACAGGGGAAAGCAGAGGGCTCGGACCCGAGGCCGTTTGCATAAAGTTTAAATTTTATTTTATTAAATTTTTTTTTTAGCTATTCAGTTTTAAATACGTGGTGTGGCGCGCTCGGTCCCTCGGGAAGTGGTCATGCAGATCTGAGGTAGAAAACCCGGCACAGGAGTGTTCCCAAATGCACCTCTAGGTAGTTTCACCGCAGCCACACGTCGGTCAGGCAGCGGAAGGGGAGAGGGGATCGGGGGCTCGTATTTACAACAGCAAAAGGATCGGAGCGCTCCAGTCCGGCCCGGCAGGGCAGGAGCCGCCGATCGCTGCTGGCAGCGGGAAGGAGCAACGATTACTGCAACTGCGGGAAGGGGACGGGGAAAGGGCCCGGCTGGTCCCCGCTGCCGACGAGGCGGGCAGGACCGAGCCCGCAAACCGGGGAGCATCGCCCGGGCGGGGGGCAGCCGGGCCGGCTCCCCGTGTCCTGCGCCTGGATGGGCTCCGGGGCCGGGCTGGGCTCTCTCCGACATTGCACATGGAGGGGCGGGCGGGGAGGGCCATCGGGGCGGCGGGGCAGCTCTCAGGGGTTCAGTTCCAGAGCCCAGACCTGCTGGGGCCAACCCGTCCGGCCCTTCAGCTTCTTCTCGCCGTGACCCAGAGGCTGCGAATACACCTCGGGCTGCTGCGGGAGAGGAGATGGGGAGAGGACGGAGAAAGGAGCGGTCAGGAACGGAGCGGGGTCCCGGGCCGCCCGCCCGCCCCTTGCGCTGGCCGCAGGGCTGCAGCCGGGCCCCGCAGCTCCGAGCGGCTTTGCCAGCCCGAGGACAAAGAGGGGCTTTAGAGGTCCCCACCCCGCCACCCGCCCGCTGCAGCACGGACAGAAGCGGCCACCCTTGCTCCGAATCGCTCCTGCGCCCGCTCGTCCTGGGAGAGCTCCCGGGAGAGGTGAAGGACAGCCCGGGGGAAGCTCCTGCCAGTCCCGGACCCGGGGGCTGACCCCTCGCGGAAAGTGCTCGGAAGCCCACCCGGCCCGTCGGGCGGGCTATTTTTCGACGAGTTTCCCTTCACAGATTTGTTATTACTATTATTATTGTTGCTGTTGTTATTGCGCTGGGAAAAAAAAGGCTTCAGCGAGGCCGGGAGATTTTAGAGAATTTCTCCTCCCCAGTCCCGGGGTTTATCCCGCCCGCTCCGGGCCCACGGAGAGCAGGGACGCGGGTCCCCATCCACCTCTTACCGTCTCCCTTTTCCTCTTGTTCTCCCTGCCGTCCGCCTTCTTGAGTTCGGCTTTGAAGCCCTCGGTGTCCCCGGGCTGGCTGTCCTTGGCCAGCACCTCCATCAGGTAGGCGATGTAGCTGGTGGCCAGGCGCAGGGTCTTGATTTTGGAGAGCTTGGTGTCGGCGGGCACGTTGGGGATGCACTCGCGGAGCTCGGCGAAGGCGCTGTTGATGCTCTCCGTCCTCCGCCGCTCCTTCTTGGGTCCCCCAACACCTTTTCGCCGTCCCAGGCGGCCGCTGAGAGCCTCCAGCCGCCCCGGGCCGGCCGGGCCGTACTCGGCGGGGCCGTAGTTCGGGCTCTGCCCGGCGAGCTCGGGGGTCGCCTCGGCCGGGTTGAGCACCCAGCCGGGGAAGTAGGAGCGCTCCTGGTGGCACCGCGCCGCCGGCCCGAAGAGGAAAGGGTCGTGCAGCATGTGGTGGTGATGGTGGTGATGGTGGTGATGCTGGTAGCCCCCCACCAGGTTCATGATCCGCTCCGCTGGCCCCGGGGGCCGCTCAGCAGCGCTCCATGGCCGGGCGGGAGGCGCTCCCCGCCGGGCGGGCGCGGCGGGCTGCGGGGAGCGCGGCTCCGGTGGCGGAGGCGGCTGTGGGGTTTGGGGATTTGGGTTTGTTGTTTGGGGTTTTTTTAACCCCTTCTGGAGCCTCCCGACCCTGCCTTTATATAGGGCCGCGGCCCCCCCGCCGTGGAGCCAATGGGCAGGGGAGGATGCGCGGAGGCCCCGGGGGGAGCGGAGCGGCGGAGGGGGCGTGCGCCGCGCTCCGGGCTCGGGGGCTCGGGGGCTCGGGCTCACACCTCCGCCGCTCGCCCTCGGGCCCGCCCGCCCCTTTTTTTCAGCAAGAAGGGGGTGAGGAAGAACCGAGGGGCGCCCCACCCCGTCCCGGAGCGCTCCGAGCCCCCCGAGAGCCGCCGCGCCCGGCCGGGGAAGAGAGCCGGCAGCGGGGCGGGGGAGCCGCGGCTGCCCGGACCTCCGACGGCCGGGCCGGGAGAGAGCAGCGGCGATGCTCGGGGCCGGGGGGCAGTGCGGGATGCTCGGGGCGCACTCGGAGCCGGGGGATGGGGAGAAAAGGGGTGAAGGTATCGGAGTGAGGCGGGCTGGGCACCCCTGCGGCTGGGGCTGGCAGGGATGGGGTGTGGGCTCCCTCCATACACACGGGGCTCCTGGCCCACGCCTGCGTTGCACAGCTGCACAGGGATGTGCACTGCACGCGTGAGCAGCAAATGCCCACGCTGTGCAATGCACAAATCCACACTGCACTTGTGTTGGTTACACCATGCACTGCTGCTCACACCTAGGTACGGCACGCATTGCCCACACGCACCACAAAGATGCTGCATGTACCACACAGCTTCTGTGCTGTACACACACTCCACCAACACGTCCCACGGGCACCCATATATGTTACATACACCAGCAGCACGGATGTGCCACGTGCACAATGTCATTGCAAGTATATGACACACACACGTGTGGCACACGCACTCCTATCACACACATGGTTTATAAGCACACGTGTGTGCTGCTCACCCGTGTACAGACTCTGCATAGATACATAAATATATACAAATTATACTGTCCATGTGTACAAATGTATTTACAATAGGGAGCTGGGGACCTGCCCTGCTTTTTCCCGTCCCAGCCTGGCCATGAAAGGGCTGGGGGGACACGCTGGGGTTGGGATCTTGTACTTCACCACAGCCCCAAACCCAGGCTCAGGGTGGGGCCTGAAGTGGACAGCAGCACATCCTGCTGGCCTCTGCACCCACGGGTGACAGATCCCCAGGACGATGTCTCCCAGAGCCAGGGCTTCACCCCCAGCCCTGCTGGGCGACACTGGGGCTGACCCCTGCTCCTGCCGCGGTGCCTGCAGTGGGGACAGGCTGGGCACGGCAGCGCTGCTCGCAGCACGGCGGGGCAGGAAGGGGCTTTGGGCCCGAGGTATGTTAGCGATTAACGGCGCTTTCCAGCGATTCATCTTGCAGCGGAGGGTGGAAACGTTGGAGGGTTGTTTGCAGGCGCTTGTATTAATCATCCGGGCTAACACACCATTAACGTCCTCCTGCATTTTAAAGATGACAAATTTTATTTGACTTCTCTCAATCACGGTTCCCGGGCGGATTCGGGAGCCACTTAAATGCCTCGGATTTTCCATCGTTAGTTGTTACAAGGCGAGCTGCAAAGGCGGGAGGCTGGGGGGGCCGGGGCAGGGTGCGAGCGGGTCTCCGGTTCTGCCGGGCTGGGGGGAGCGGCCGTGCCGGATCTGCCCAGCTTTGTTCCCCCCTGCTTTGTTCTCAGCTGCTGCAAAGACCCCGCTTCCCCACCCCCTTTAAACAAGCGCCCTGCAAACATTTGCTAGTGATTACTCTCCTGTTGGAGCCAGGATTGGGTAGGGTAGGGCGTCGTGTCCCCGATTTCCTCCAAAACAGCCGTGGTTGGGTGGGATCCCCGAGCCCGGCTCAGAGCTGGTGGGAGCCAGTGCCCACCTGGGAGAAGTTCAGGGGTCCCACTTCATGCCTCACCCCTCCATACTGGCAGAGCATCACCTGTGGAGCCCTGCTCCTCTTACAAACCATCCAGGCTCCTCACTGAGCTTCTCCCCAGCCCTGCAAACTGCCAGGTTAGAGTCTGTGGCACCCAAGCCCAGCTCTAGAAATACCTCACAAAAATACCCCTTTCATCCCCATAGCCCTGCATTGCACAGGCCACTCACAGCCACATCCAGCTGGGAGCTGTCACCTTGAGCCGTGCACCAGAGTCACCTCCAGCCTCCAGCTGCCAAGCCAGGTAAGTCCAGCCCAAGCCTGGGCATTATCTTGCTTAATCCACCCCCTGATGGAGGTCCCTGGACCCTGCAGAATTTGGAAGTGCTCAGCTGAGCAAATAGTGGGACCAAAGAGTTGATTTTTCGTTTGGAAAATCATTCTAATCTTTGGTGTTTTAATAAAATAATAAAACCAGAGCCCTTTTCATGCCGACACCTTCTAAATCAAACCAGACTGCCTTTGTCATGGCGTCCAAATTTAGCACTTCTCAAACTTTTGGTGAGTTTCTTTAATTTCACATCTCCCCACTCTCATGAGGGAGAAAGCACCGAGCAGTTTGGATTAGGTGATTTATGGCTGGCATGGCAAGAGGAACCACATTTCTCTCCATCTATTTTCCTTCAAATCCTTCCCAGGGAACGATTTCCTGCCCTCATGGCCAGGTGATGGTGAGGGGGCCAATGCTGCATGTTGGCAGTGAGGTCATCCCAGGTCTCTGTGAACCCCAGCACCCCAAACTCAGCAGGGGCCAGCAAGCCCTGCCTCCATCCCCATTTCTGGGACAGGAGCTGGGGTTTTGGCCCTGGCCCCTCAGCCACCTCCTTATCAGCGCCCAGCCAGCGGCAGCCCCGGGTGTCCTGTGACTTTGACGCCAGCTCTGCTCCCCCCCTCCGGCTCCCTTATCTAAATAGGAGCGTAAATCAGGGCCTTGGCAGATGCCCTGGCAGGACAGGGACTCCATAAAAAGGGGCTCTGCTCCAGCTCTGTTTACATTGCAGCCCCGTAAAATATTCCCCTTGTCTTCCTTGTTAGCGTCTCCCTGCAGCATCCCGGCACCCTGCTGCACCCACGTCCCCCCACACCAGCTCCTCTGAGGCCCCAGGGTGCAGCCAGGAGGGTCCCAGCCCCTTCACCCCACAGCCCCACCCCGTGTCCCCCAGCAGGTTCTGCCCAGGGTACCTCCTCACTAAGGCACTGCCTTGGATCCCTCCTCAGCCGCTGCAGGCGCAGAGCAGGGCTGAGCCAGCTCCCCTGGGCAGCTGCGTTGTGTCTAAAGGTGCCCCTGGGTATTTATAGCACTTGCCTGAAATAATGCAATAATAATCACTCAGCACCTTCCTAACAGTTCTGCTCTCAGAGGCCTCAGGGGACAGTGGCAAAAACCCCTGGGAAACTGAGGCATGAGCAGAGTCTGCTTCAAGGAGAGCTGCAGAGAGCTTCTCTGGGGGGTTATTTTCCTCCTGGCAATGTGAGGAGCGAGAGAACCTGCAGAAGTGGATGGAATCAAGTCAGTTTGATCAGCAATGAACTCAGCTCTGGGGTCACAGCCAAGGCATCTCTCAGGGCATCTCTGCTCCCCAGCAGGGTTTGCCACACGTGTCCTGCTGTGCCAGGATGGGTTTCATAGGGGTGAGGGGTGCTGGGGTGCAGCAGAGTTCACACTTGTGCCCACACACTGTCTGAATCCCCCAGACTGCATCACTGGGCTGCTTAATCCTGCATCAGCACCACAGGAGCAGCCCAGTACCCAGGGAGGCATGGTCTGTCAAAGCCCCACGGAAGGAGCAGGAGGAACTGGGGGTGAGCACAGGGCTGTGCCTGGATGTTCTTGCTCCCAGCACCAAGCCACAGCATCTTCTCTGTCCACGCCCCTCCTATGCCGTCCCTATGGCGACACATGGGATGACAGCAACCATTGCCCCTCAAGAAATACCATCTCTTTCTGGCCAAACAGCCACCGTCTTGCATGGATAAATCAAAAAGAAAACAAAGCTTTACGGAAAAAAGTATTAAATTTTCCATGTGCTCCTGAAGGGATGGGCCAGGCACTCGCTGTTTATTTTTTGGGCTCTCTTTGCTAGTACTGTAAGTGACATTGTGTTTACAAAAGTTTTTATGTCATCAGAGCAAAGTCACAGCTCAGCTTCCTCTCCTGTGTATTTTATGTAGATGGATGTGTCTGTGAGGAACATTCAAACTAAACAGAGAGCTGGTTTATAGGAAAATGTATTTATTTGAAAAATCGTAACTCACAATTTCGGCAAAACCGGGCTCCACATTTATTGCTGCTAATGGGGTGTGGCGGCCATAAATTAACCTGGAAAATTGCTGCGGCCATTTCAACAATGGCTCATTGTGCTGATGGAGCAGCAGCTCCTCAGAGAAGCTCATGTCAATTGGCAATTAGGTTTGGGTGCAAACAACAGGTAAAGGGAAGGTAACAGCAGCCTCACTACTGAACCAGCCCCAAAATCATCACCCTAGGCTGGTGTGGGTGCCCTGAGTCTCACTTCTAGCTGTTCCCTCATCTGATTGCCATGGAAATCAGTGAAAGGAGGCTCCATCTGCTATAAGGGAAATTTCTATTTATATCAAATTACCTGTCATAGACACTAAATTGGAGATGACAGAAAAACCCAGTCCATGAACTCTGACTGGCAGCCCACGTGCATGGAGAGTGGGTCCAGTTGCTCCCTGGTTGAAGAAGTTTTGCACTGAATCAGGAGTGATGCTTCTACCCTAAAACTTCTTTTCTGCTCGGATTCCTTGCTGAGACAAACACTGATCCCCAAAACCTCGAGGCTGGCTGCTGACCCTGGGGTACAAGCTGCCACTGTCGTTCTCCCATCCCTGATCACCTGGCTCAGGGCAGGGTTTGGCTGCTGGCTCGTGGTGGCAACTCTCCACTCATGGGGAGTTGTGGAG